ACCAAACATATATGGCTAGTTTAAGAGAAGAAATTGCGACACAATTACAAAATGAATATTGATTCTAGTTGTTATGAGACTTTTATTTGTGTTTTCTATTRTGTTTTGAATCAATTGACGTATTTCAATTGACTTTTTGAATGTATCAAAAGTATATGGTAATTTACAAATGGTTTAAATRATTGGATATTTCAGTTAAATTTAATTGAAATGAATTGATTCAGATTTCAGACTTCAGCACCACCTGTCAGTTTACAAAAACAAACAGTCTTATTGATTCAGATTTCAGATTCAGATTTCAGATGGAAAAACAAACAGTCTGACTGATTCAGATTTCAGATTTCAGACGAAAAAACAAACAGTCTGACTGATTCAGATTTCAGACTTCAGCACCACCTCTTAAAATTCAGAAGTGAATTCAGACTTCAGACTTCAGCACCTCTTAAAAAACAAACGCCACCTTAGCCTGAGATACACCCCTTCGCAATATCTGATGCTACTCTATCGACAATACTAAATTGTCATTTATTACTGCACGATGGAAAGGTGGTCATATATGTGCATGGAAAGTGTTGCAAGTTAAAACTATACATGCAATGTTTCCAGACCCCCCCCCCCCAAAAAAAATCCTTCAGGAACAATCTTTTTTGAAGTTCTAAGAGACGACAGTTCTGTTTATTAACCATGATTTAAATTCGTTTTTTCTTGGCAGGACTTAATGGAGCATCTAAACAGGAAAAAAGTCGCATGTTTTCCTGTTTCATCTCCTCCTGCTCTTCCTCCTTGTGAAAATGATAATACTTCAGGTTTTGGTAGCAGAATTTTTATCATCACTGTAGCTCATTTATTCTACAATATACTTCTTTGTGATTTCACCATGTCTTTGTGTCTGTTTTGAGTTTTCCAGGTTGTGTGCAGTCCTCCTTTCGTCAAGGGAAAAGGAAACTTACAAGAGAACATAGACTAGAATGTGTAGTAGTATTTGAAAAGATCTTTGGGGACGTCCTATGCCTGGAGGGTGATCTAGTCATAATAAACTTTTTTGCATTGGTAATTTACCTGACACCTAAAAGGAGAAGTAGTCTCTATACAAAAAAAACTTGTGGCATGTTTTCATGATATATAACTGTTGATATGGGATTCTCAATTTTACTTAGGAATTGCTAAAAGATACCTGGACAGTATGTAGACTTCACTCGGGCCTTACTTTATTTATCCTATTACATATCTTTGAGATTAGAAGATTTTCAATACCCTCATCTTTTATGCTACCCTTTTTTATGCAAGTACTGTACATAATTTGTAGAAAAATACAAGTTCTGAATACATACAACATCCATCTTCACAATTTTTTGAAGTTTGTAAAGTAAAAATAATGATTTCCAATAGAAGTCAACATATTTAGAGACTTAGCTAGCAGAAGTTACTTCACATATGTAATCCCTATGCTATCAATCACATAAATTCATAAAATATAACTATCAATGTTAGTGTGTTTAATTGTTTTAATTGATTTGCATTATCTTGGACATAATATCATGTTCAGAAAATCTAAGTCACCTTTGTTATAGGTATGATGATGAATTAACTGAGGAACACTTCTGTCTTCATTGTGCAGGAAGGTTGGAGCCTTGCTGAGCTTTTTAATGTTCGCTGTGTGGTAGCAGCTCCTTATGTTGTTCCTTATAGGTACAGCTAACCTTGTCAATGATATCACACAACTTCTTTTACCATTTAGTTGGAATTCTTATCACAGTGTCTGATATAGTTATTCTGATCAAAATGCACTATAATGATCCAAAAAGGAGATATGATCATATTTTTAATGACAGAACGCTTACAAGATTGCATAGAAAGCAATATTGCTATACCAGATATACCCTACCAGTGTTGTCTATATGAAGCTTCATTATTGAGTTGTCATCTAAAGAAATCTGGATAAATTTTATAGCGCCTTTCACATAAGCTTTCAAGTGGTCTGCTTCATGTGTTGGTGATTTTAATGAAATCATCAGTTCCTTTTAGGTAATTGGATTCACAAGAGAGTAATGGGGTTGGTAGCTGAGCTATACACGAGCTAGGAGGTGTAGAGTGCACACTCGTGTAAGTTAATTAGAACCCGGGATTGTTGGATGGTTTTCTATGGTGAGTTTCTAAGTGGCAAATGGCAGTACGCATGCCATGTGTTTTTGGTCATCAGAAGTGCACGGGTCGTGCTTGACAACATAAAGTACTGCATGGGCCGTGCATTTTTGTTCATAGAATGTGCATGGACCGTGCGTTTTGGTCAGATGCTGTACTATCAACTGATGGGTTTTGCGTCAGCCGATGGCTTTGCTATTGATGTATTATCGGCTGATGGCAATTTTGCCACTGACGGGATCATAAGTTTATGGTTTCCCACTGATCGTTATTTCATCAACTTCTCTATTTTGTAACCCCCACTACTTATTTCCAGCAATCATTTCCATTTAATGGGGAGTTATTCTTGGCATTAATATAGGAGGGATTCTCTAAGTTTAAAAGAAACAGTTTCTGCCAAAATCATGACTGAAAGTTTGAGATTATGCTTGAGTGAGTTTCATGATACCCAGGCAGATTTAGGTCGAAATACACTTAAGCAAAGCGAGCTCTCACGCAATCTGAAGTTATTATCCAAGTTCCATACTCATTATTTTCTCACTATACTCACGAGATCTCCCCACCAAGATGCTCCGTAGTCTTTGTTAGTTTGTTGGCCGGATAAAAAAATTCCAAATTGAGCAAGTTGTTGACCTTCAAATGAGCTTTGGCCAGAGGGCTTGTCTTAAGGTGTACTTCATTTCCAATCTTTTTCAAGGTAAGCGAGATATCTATTACTTTCTCCTAGTGAATGCTTCTTCTTTTATCTAACCACCGATCAATACTTTGCATGGTGGAATCAGTACTATTTCTTTCCTTCTCCATGTTTATATTTATGTAGTGCATGCTACATAGAGGTTTTTATATCGAAAGGTGATAAGAAAAGCTAACTTTGTGGCAGAATGAGTATCTCTTTGTACATCTTGCTTTTCTTATATGTTTTCCTTTTTCTTATTGTATGTGCGTCTGTTTTTCATATTATACCTGGTGTAGTGCTCCCTCATCGTTTGAACGAAAATTTAGGGAAGAGCTTCCTCTTGTATATGACTATTTTCAAGCAGCTCCAAGCGAGAAGGTAAATCTCAAATCCTCTACATTATGCACATCTTTTTTGCTTATGCGAGTTTTATGGTTTTCTTGTCTCTTTTCCCTCTTTTCCTTTATTTTGTTCTTTTGACATTTTACTCATTTGCAGTTTTGCTCATATACAAGTTGAATGATACTTGGTATAGTTAATGTTAATTAATTCTTCATTTGCAAAAACTTGGTGTAACTTTTTATTTTATTTACACAAATGTCCGTCACACAAATTAATTTAGTCAACGTTGTTCCTTAATTAAATCGTCGATTGGTACAATGGCTGTATTAAATTTTTCTCATTGAAGAATCATTCATTCAGGTCCTTGTAGATTTTGTTTTGTAGTTGATATAGAAGACTTCACTAACAGATGTATGATCTTTAATTTGGCTTAAATAAGATTGGTTGGAAAGATGTTATTCACTGGATGTGGCCGCTCTTTACGGAGGACTGGGGAACATGGAGAGCTACAGAGTTAAATCTGAGTCCCTTGCCTTTCACGGTATGTCCTTGCTTCCATTTGACTTGTTTCCCCACAGTAGTTTATAAAAAAACAGTTAGTATCACAGAATTTAAATGAAGTCTATGGTTCCTTCTCATCTTCCTAATATGGAAATGGTTTATGGCTTTATCCTTAGCAAATTTATGCTGCCCTGTTTCTTTTTTTTTCCTTGGAGTTGACTGCGCTCGTTTTATTGTGTCTTCATATATCCAGGATCCAGTCACAAGTCATCCACTGTGGCACAATAGGCCTTCGTCTCCTTTGCTATTGTAAGATCAATACCAGTGTGCCAATTATTTTACAAGTTCAACTGTGTGCGCATGTGTAAAACGTGAGACTGAGTTTTGTTGGTTCATTTGTCCGTAATTCTCTTAGTTGCTGCTATTGCAAGTTGAAGGTAGGAAACTTGATGTTTATGTACAGTAACTGAAAATCTTAAATGATGTTGGTTTTGATAAACCCTTTGCATTGAAATATTAATTTAACAATATGGTGTTACCTAAAAACTGAGGTCTGAGGACCACTCCACTTCGTACCAGGCACACATACCTTCTTGTTGACTGAATCTAGTTAGAAGGCTAAGTTGAAAAAATCCCCTATTAAATGTTAGCATGGTGGCTCAAAGTGCAGGCACTCTAGTCACTTAGTTCATCCAGGCTGCAAGAATCTATCTGGGTGCTTGCAGCTTGTAATTACCCTTTATGAAACTACTCTCCCATGGCATGGGTTACATATACTTTGGTGTATTATGGTAAAAATTACATAGCATCTCTTCGTGTTCAGTTTATAGCTGGAATATACAGACTCATCATGCTTATTCTATTGGAAAACATATAAATTTCTTACAGTAAATGATACTATTGAAACATAAATAACCAACCTGGCACAAATTGACACTGCCATCTTCATGTAACATGGTAAATTACATAGTCTAATTTGTGGTCAGTTTTTTTTTTTTTTTTTTTTTTTTTGGGGGGGGGGGGTGGAGGGGAACAAATGTGCATAATGCCTGCTATCATATGTTATCTCTTCATGCTCACTTTCTGAGAATAATAGAGCAGATCTGTATATCAATCTGAATTTCACCACTTCATCATAACAGGTATGGTTTCAGCAAAGAAGTTGTAGAATGCCCTGGTATGGTGTTTTCTCTTGATCTAAACCTTCACTTTGGGTACTGACTAGACGTCTGCAAAATTACAATGTGCAATAGGAGTTTGCTTCTTCCATGACTCACCTCATGGCAAAGTTCCAATATTAATTATAGAGCTGCAAAGAGTGTAAAGCTACATATTAGTCTATGGAACTGTAATGTGAATGAAACTCTATTTCCTTCTCGTAGTAAGACCATGTGTTTGTGTAACCACAATACTGTGAATTAGTTTTTTTCTATACTTTTCTTGTATTCAGAGAATATCAGTTGCAGCATATATTCAAATTATAACGGTCTCCTTTTCATTGCTTTTTGCATTTCTGTACTATGCCAGGTTACTGGCCTTCAAATGTTTGTGTGTGTGGCTTCTGGATTCTTCCTATGGAGTGGCAGTTCTCATGCGAAGAGTGTGCAGAAATTGCAGTCTTGATCTCTTCAAAGAATTTGAACATGAAAGCTGAGTTATGTTCGTCTCACGCTGAGCTGGAACAGTTTTTAAATGCTCCAGCATCACTGCCACCTGTTTTCATTGGTTTGAGTTCAATTGGAAGGCAAGTTTTTAAGTTTACAAAATGACAAATATGCATTAGGACTTAGAAACCAGATTTTCATCCTATATTTCACCCTTCAATACTGTAATTTGGCATAAGTTAGAATCATTATTTACTGTATCAAGCATGTACCCATGGATGCAGTATAGTTGCGAGCCTCATTGCCTTGCACATTGCTTGTTTAGCACATTTTTCTTTGAGTAGGTTTTCTTAAGCAGCCTACATACTGCTCTGTTTGAGCATATGTTGGTTTGCAATACCCACCAATAAGTAAGGTAAATATCCACTTTAGGTCATTATTATAACATCTATTCAGCCAATATAGGTTCATTTTTAATACTTCTAGACACTTCAGCAAGGACAATGGTTTTGGTTACTTGTTCTGTAGTGCAACTATAACTTAAAAGTATATAATATTTATATACGGTAAATGAACCCACACACCTTTCTCACCTTTGGTGAGGTTTGATTCTCTGACCTCCTAGAAGGCTAGGTTTAACCTATAACCCAGATACCCTTAGGCCAAAGACCCTTTGGTAACTATAACTTGGTGCTGAATAAGTAAACTTTTGTACCCATGGACCCCACTCTTCCATTTATGGTTCCATAAACTTTCAGAAAAACACTTCCTTCGGATGCTTATTACTTTACCTAGTCTTCTATTCTGAAACATAATACCCTTCTGTCCACAGCATGGGCTTTATGAGGAAACCGCAGCTGCTACTTCATGTTCTTCAAAGTGTTTTAGAGATAACCAGTTACCGTTTTATTCTGTTCTCGTCTGGATATGGACCTCTGGATGCTGCAACAAGAGTGCTTGCTGCAGAAACATCATCATGTTCAGAAAAAGGAGAATTCATTAAGGATGGAGTTTCTCTTTTTAGTGGCCGGCTTTTCTGTTTCTCAGGGTAAGCATTTTTGTTTCCTGTTACCTTTTGTGAACTTTAATTTAAAATAAGCTATTATTTTGGAAAGGAGTGAACTGGACTGTATGTCTGTACCCGAGCTGTTGAGAAGCTTCCCATGCAAATAAAGTTAGTTGTCACAGGGTATAATTTTTCTTGAGGAACATCTACTTTGTAAAGAAATAATTTTTACTATTATTTTGGAAGAAAAATTATTTCTTTACAAACGTCACATGAGAGTCGATTAGGGTTTTAAGAGAGTTTAATACTTTTCATTAAATAAAGAAAGTGGCCGGTTTCTATCCATCGTCTTCTACATTCTCTCCATTACCACTATTTTACCTTGATTTACTTGTTGATCTGGGCCAAGAAGTGGTGTCAAAGCCAAATCGATTAACTTCTATCAATTCGATCTATCTTTCTGCAGTAGATTCAATAAATTTTATTAGAACAGTGCTCATTCATGAACTGCCTCCTGTTCGACTGTTGGTTGGACCAAAAAATTCATCGATTCACCATATTCTTAATGTTTTAAATCAAATTCCTTTTAAAGGATTTGTTCTTGGGTGAATACGAACTTATTTTGTTCATCAAAATTAGGTTTATTTGATGAGTTTCTTGGATTCAGTCAAACTTTTGGACTTTGATTTTGTCAGATTTACGCGTAAGCGATAAGCAGGAGTTCATGGTGCTCTCCGCCTAAGGCAATGGGGGATTTGTTTGCCAAACCTATACTCATCGCCCATCTCCTGAGTACTTGTTCATCGTCTCTCATTGTGGATCTGGATCTGTGAGCGTTTAAACATTTTTTTGCCTAATATCACCTGTACTTGATGAATAAGGTCATATTTCATCAAGGTCTTCCCTTAGAAGCATGAACAACAATATCGTCAATTTTGATTTTTTTAAGTCAAGATTCGACTTTTTTTTATTAACCTAGATATCCAACCCGCTATGCGAGCCGACTAACCCAGGGCGACCACCTGCTTTGCAAATATCCCAGAGTCACCGCATTTGAACCTCCATGGCCACAAGGGGATTTTTCTTCCTCATTGGATTTGAACATGGGACCTCCCGGTACTTTTGACCTTTGGAGCCAAACTCAAACCAATCAGGCACCACCCTTGTCAACCAATTTGGGATTAATGCTTAAAGACAGATTTGAAAGGATTTCAGAACTGTTTGATTGAATTTAGTATTTGATTGGACTAGTAAGAGTTTGAGAATATGCAATCATTACCTTGGAGTTTTCTACAAGAGACTAGATCATTGAGTGTCTTCACTCATTTCTTCTGACCTGATCAATCAGAGGTCTTGAAGGTTTGCAATCAATGAGTGTTCTCAGTCATTCTTCTAACCTGATCATTTAGAGGTTTGAAAGTCTACAATCATTGCTCTAAAACTTATGGTTGTGATCTAGAGTTTTGAGTGCTAATGATCACTCTTCTATCTGGGAATTTGGGATCTGTTTTTAATTATTCAGTCTGCTGAAAGTTTAAAGGAAATTGGCTTATCTTCTGGTTGATTGCTGCTCTTGAAGCGATAAGCTTAATGATGATTCTTCTCTCCGGTTCTCAATTCCAAAGGTGTCTGCTCTGATTATTCAAGTTGATACCCCATTAGATCAAGTTTTTAAGCTGAATTCCTATTCAACTCACGGTTCAATGAAAGATTCTCTGTCATAAGACTGTTTGCACTGATTTGTTAAGAAATTCACACATTTATCTATCCCTTAGTTGGATGAATTAGCTGCCTGTGGGGTCGAGTGGCAATTCTGAGATTCAAAGGTTGTGTTGAGTTTTCTGCAGATTAAAGCTGCATTTTGTGCAATTGGTGGTGTTGCATTCACATTGAATCTAATCTAATCTGAAAGTTGAAACTGAAGAATGAAGAGCTGCATTCATTCAGGGGGGGGGGAGCTTGAAGATTCCATCCATACCAAGCACACCAAAGTTCTCTTAAAGAAAGCAGGGGGGGAGAAGACCTGAAGGCTTCATGAAAATGCTTGCTTTATAAAACTTTGGGAGGAGATTGTTAAGACCAAAATTTGTTCTAATTAATCTGAAAGTTTTATTAAAGCAATTTGGGCTAAGGATGAAAAATTCAGAGATCTACTGAGCTAAAATGACCAAGTTTGGAAGAGCACACACGACTTGAGCTCGGGTGCTCGGACACAGAGCTCGTGCACTCGGATAGAGAACAAGCGCACTCGGACTTAAGCACGGGTATTTGGATACAGAGGGCAAGAAGACCGGAGACATGCGCATGCGCCTAAACGCCAAGTTCTTGGATACAGAGCGCAGACACAAAGCCTTTGCATAGTACATACAGAGCCTCTGGGTCTTCCACAGATACAAAGCTCCTCTATATGAACTGTTCCTCTGTATGAGCTACTCCTCTGGTTGGTCTATGCTCTGGACAACTATCTTCGGATAGGCTAAGTGAATGAAGTCTGAATCAAGAAGGATGGTGTTGATCCTATTTACAATAACGATTATTTTCCATATTTATAGGATTCAGTTTCCTTGTAAATATCGCCTATATAAGAGGTGATATAGGCATAGAATACGATTGATTTTTAACATATCGAAATACACAGAAACACACGAACATCATGAGAGTCGATTAGGGTTTTAAGAGAGTTTATACTTTTTATTTAATAAAGAAAGCGGCCGGTTTCTATCCATCCTCTTCTACATTCTCTCGTTACCACTATTTTATCTTGATTTACTTGCAGATATGGGCCAAGAAGTGGTCCCATATCCTCAAATGCACTAGTAATCAAAGCTTAAGTCAACAAGTGAGTGGAAACAATAACAATGATACTAGAAAGGTTAAGCAGAAATGACAAAGATACAATAATCTTTAGAGAAGTAGTCAAGTTGGTTGTATTTCAGTAACTAGTGAGATTACACAAGAACACTAGGAGCACACTAATGTATGTGTACATAATTTCTCTCAACTAGCTATTTTCTCACAAGTGCGGATTTCTCTCTATTGAATATGGTAGGAGCGCGTCTTCTTTCTGTCAAGATTGGTAATTATCTCCTTAGAGGAAATACCCTTTTATAGGCAATCCCAGAAAAGGAATCTTCCATAACTTGGGAATTTGGAGAAGTCAACGCGTCCACCAATCTTCTGCCTCCACTTGTCTGATTGAAATAACTGTTTTTGAATACGTGTCAGTCTGAGACTAGAGCACTTGTAAGACGAGCCGTGGAACCTTCATGTAGCTGGGAGAGTTGGAGACCCAGAGGCTCTGCATGTATAGTGTAGAGGCTCTGTGTCTGGAGTTGAGCTCTATATCGAAGACTTGGCTTTTAGGCACGCATGTCTTCGGTCTTCATCCCTCTATGACGAGCTCTATATCCGGGTACTAGCTCTGTATCCGAGCTCTTGGTTCCAGGCAACTTTCAGACTTAGTCCTCTTGACTAGGGCAAGAGACTTTTTACTTACACTTTTCAAATGAACATGCTAACAATCTCCCCTTAAGTGTAATAAAAAGACTTGTTGGAATTGAATCTAGTCCAGAAAGCAAGAGGCCAATGTGGTCCTCTGAAAATGACTTTTATTGAAATAGACAGCGTTTAAACAAGACAAAACAAAATTGCAGAGATAGAAGCCTAGAAATGTTGTAACTTCATGAACCTCCTAAGAAGCTTACGAAATTATATTGCATCATCGATTGTGTGTATGAGCTCAGAGGCTCTATCTCTTGCAGAGGGGTCTTGTTCTTCCTTTCGAATCAGATTGGTTTCTAATCCAGCACAGGGTTGCATTTGAGTACTTGAATCTTTGATCTGCTCTGAAGAAGATTTTCTCTTTTAGCTCGTTTTGAAAGACGACTCCTAGCTCTGGCTCTACAAAGACAGTCCAGGATGGGATGTACTGAATGCCCTCAAGATTTTCGTTCGGTGCAGTGACAAACAACTGATCCACACCCATGTCCAGAGCAATTTGAAAATCCACCTTGCTTCTGAACTCCAACAGATCTATCATCGTTTGTCGAATTGCAGAGTTGGCCAACACGTACTTGATCCCTTTATCTCTCTGGTGATCCGTGAAGAAGTACAAAGTGAGAAGATCCCAAGGGTTCAGATTTATGAGGTCACAATCAGTGAACACAATTATCTGGCCCTGTGATCTTTCCACCATGTATTGATGAAAAATGATCTGGTTATGGGCAAAGTTTCTTCTCTTGATGTCAAGTACCTGTTTGATCCCATCGCAAAAGTGAACTTCAAGCATGGGCATAGTATATTGATGAAGAAACCTCTGTCTTATGTTCTCTTGGGCCATGGGATGCAGGTTGATCTTCATTCACTGCACCTCTTCCCTGTCTCTGTATAAAAACTGAAAGATCTTTTCATTAGCGATTGGATCTTCAATCACTTTGTTTTTGGGAAGAGGCCTCATCATTTGATCCCTGATTTCTTGCACTCTATCGTACATGGGATTGGAGCTTTGAGGTCTGCTGCTGCTGGCTTCTGGTTGATTAGATGCAGAGGTCAGATTGGCTCTAGAACTGGAACAGGCATTAATGTAGACACAAATGCAGACGCAAAGGTGAGTCTTGAAGGATTACCTGTTTTGCAACAAAGGGTTCATCCACAGACTGAGATTCGATGACATTGACAACCACTTCCTCTTTGTCTTTGTCTGGTTGAATTTGAGCTTCCTCCATATATGGCTCAGAGGAAGATGTTGATGTAGATGGAGATGCATAAGCATAGGTGAGTGGCTTCAGAGAGGAACCCATGTCTTCACCAAAGATGGATGCAGAGGCAGGCTCTGGTTGATCTTGAGGTCTTTGTGAAGAGGCAGGCTCTGGATGTGAATTATGGTCAGGTGCAGAGGAGACGGGGGCAGCTTGAGTTGTATGCTGATGAGAGCTCTCCCCCTTTTGATGGGCTTGAGGCCAGAGTCATCTGGGTCCTCTTGATCATCAAATCTCCTCCGCCTCTTGGAGCTTTCTGCACATGGAGATCCTTGCTTCCTTAGTCTCATCTTCCTCTTCTTAAGTTCTGCAGGTGGCATCTGTTTAACTTTTTCATCAAACAACTCAACTATGTCTTCTGCTGATTGAGTTGCTTTGTTTATCTCGACATCCGCTCTGAATTTGAACGTAGCCAAAGATCTATGCATCTCTGCAGCTGCTGACTTGGCTGTGGAATTAAAATCGGAAGTGAATGCAGAGACCTTCTGCAGCAGTTTGTCGCCAAGAGCCACCATGTCAGTCCTTGTTATGCAGTCAGCTGGAGTGCCTATAGGAACCAAGGCTTGTTCGTTTTGCTTGGCCATGTCTTCTGTGAACCTTTGGAATTGGTCCACAGAGACTGGTGTGATTTTAGCCTTTGACTCCTCCCTCTGGATGTGATCGTTGACCCTTTGCAGGGTAGTGTTTGTGGTTGCCGTCAATTCCAATTGTTGTTTGAGAAGAGTAGCATTCGTCTTAGACTCGGCTTTCAGGCTGCAATGGATGCTCGAACATCATCCAAGGCAGCTGCAGAGGTTGATGGCTCTGCACGGGCCATTGTGAGTTTTAGCTCTTCCAAGGAGCACAAAATAGAGGTGGCAAAGGCAGGGAACTCTGGCTTTGTGACATATTCTGTTGTGGTAACCTCTGGCTCAACAGAGTGAGTCCTAGTTCCAAGGACACCTTCATTCAGATCTGCTTGTATGTTGAATCTGGAAGGATTTCCGTCTGATCCCCGTACCTCTTCATCATAAGAGAATACTACAAACATTCTATCATGATGAGCTCTTCCAACCAATTCAGAGTTGGATGGAAGATCATCTATGAGTGGACTAAGAGGCTGGTCGAGAGCCTCAGAGTCTTGTGCACCTAGAGCTTGCTCTGAACAAGCTTGGGAACATCTAGTGTAGAGGAAACATATTCCTCTGTATGGGCAAGTGTCGTGGCATGGGGAGACGCGACTTATCTTTTCAAAAGTCTCACCCTTTTGAGAGGATAAACCCTGCAATGTGGTATCCTTTGGCTGTGCAGATCCGAGGCAGATGCGACCTCTGGTTGGGTAGGCAGGTTAAGGTTCGAGGTGTGCACCTCTGTTTCAATAGTCCCTGTTGCGGACCAACTGGACTAGATGATTCGCTTGCAGTGGGGGTGGGGGATGGAAAATAGATGTGCTTATTAGGCACCACTCTCTGTGGCTCTTGCTCCCCCTCGCCCTCACTCCCTCTGCCTCCTCATTGTCTTCTTTTTCTTCTTCTTCTTCTTCTTCTCCCTCATTATCCATAGCATTTGCGTTCTCCTTCAGCTCTCTTTCTTTTTGCTCCCTCTCCTCTCTTTTTCTTTGTTCTCTCTCTATTTTTGATCTCTTAGCCTCTTCTCTCTCTTTTTTTTCTTCCTTCTCCCTCTTTCTTTTCTCTTTTTCCCTCTTCTCCCTCTCAATCCTCTCAACATCCTCCAGTGCAAGTCTCTCCCTCTCAACCTCCTCACCAACATTCTCTTGCTCTCCCTCAACACCGACTTCTTCCCCTATGCGTGTGGGGGTTCGAGTCACTGGTTCTAGTAATTCGAGCACACGTCTGTACGCTCTCCTTACTCCCTTGGTTTTGATGTACGCCATCAGCTTCTTTGACAGTGGTCTTTCGTCTGGGTTCCCATCCTTGTGCATCGTAGGATGGTACGTGGATAGTACATTCACGGATGCCGTTGGGCCTGAAGTGTAAGGGATCTTTCTTTCGGTGAGACCCGGCCGGAGGAGCAGGCTTAGGAATCTGGGAAACAGCAACGCAGGCAGATCTTTTCCCTTTGACTTGTTTTCTTGGCAACAGCGCCCTGGAATTCCGTGTAGAGGATTAATGAGTAGTCCAAAGGCAAGTCGAAGTAGATGCCGTATATCAGTTGGAGCATGTTGGTGCTACTCATGTCCATGCTCCCGATCTTACCAATTAGGGATCTATTAACCAAAGTGAACAGAACATTCCACATTGGTGGCAGAAATTGGCGCCTAAACTGAGATGGGTAGTTTATCTGCTTATTGTAACCAAGGAACCTCAGAAATCCCACGATTTCGTCACCGGTTGGTAAAGGGGCGTACTCAGGAAGGCCTAGGTCAGTTTGAGTGGGTATTTGAAGAACAAAGGAGAATAGTGACCTAGAACAAGTAGCCAGAGATGAGGGAGAACAAGAGAAGTATACTCAGACCGACTCGTCTTACTTCTGCTCACTTGTTGATTTAAGCTTTGATTACTAGTGCATTTGAGGATTTGGGTTCCTACACGCACTTTAAACTTCCATCCCTGAAATAAAACCAAAGCAAAAGTTGACTATAAATTTTCATTTGAGGATCAACTTAGGCTTTTGTCATGTTGTGCTTTCAGAAAAGCTTTGCTTACTTGCAACAGATTGAAGTATGAGATTTTCCAAGCTATCCTTTAGTCAAGTATGAGCCCTCTCTTTCAGTCAAGTATACTCTGGAATTTGCAGATACTTGATTGCATCATTTGTGGATTCTGTTTGAATTTTATTTGTTTATTTTTTAAGGCAGGCAGATGTGCCCTGAAAGTTACAGTTATATTATCTCCTTATATACTGAACCTGACTAAGGCTGTACCATTTTTATCATATTATTAGTAATAAACAGTAGAATATATCATATCTCTGGTTACAAAGCTTATGTTAGTTCATATATTATAAATTTTCAACAAGTTTCTGTAGAACCAGGAAAGTTTTAATCAGTCCTGATGTCTGTGTCATTTTGCAACTAGTTCTGTACCATACAAGTGGCTATTTCCGAAATGTGCTGCTGCTATTCATCATGGGGGTAGGTGAGCTCACCTTTCCTTTTCTTTCCTTTTTTTCTTTGTATATTTAGGTATTCCAACCATTTTTTTTCTTCTTTTCCAACCTTCTATTCCTTCATAACAATTTCAAATTTGCTGTTTGACATATGGCTCGACTAGTGGGTCCACTGCAGCAGCTTTGCATGCAGGAACTCCACAGGTTTGTTTCGATACAGCTAACCTTTCTTCATATTCAGTTGGGGATATTTTGTGTTCCTTTGATAATGAAGTTCTTGTGGCTCGTTTTCCTTGATTATTGAATTAAAGTTGACAAGTCAAATGCTGATGGGCACACATTTTAAGTTCAGAAAAAGGGGTTCTCTTTAAAATTTCGAAGGAACTGAGACATTTTGTTTGGACAACGTTACCCTTGATCAGTTACATTAACAGAATGATTATTTATCCAATATTTATAGAAAGGAAGGATAACTTAGCAATATTAACTTTTGAGATAGAGCTCCTTTGGGGACAAAGAACAATTGTAAAATGGATTCTCTTACTGGGACGGAGTGTGATGGGATCATCATTACAACAGTAATGTCATCTTTGCTAGCAATTTCTAATGCTATTTGAAAATCCCACTTACCGGAGTGGTCGGCCACCTATGTCCCTGACCGAGTTAGATACTACTGGCCCAAACTGTTTTATCGGTAAGCACTTGCTACTAATTACTTGTTTAAACAACCATTTTCACCTCTTACTCAAACCACATTCTTACCCGGGTAGCACTTTAACAAATTTGTTGATAAAGGGTCCTGTCCATAAGGGGTTAGCAGCAAGAGGGGTTGTTTGTTTGTCTTTTTATTTTTCTTCTGAAATGATTGATTACATACACAGGTATTATGCCCGTTTATGCTAGATCAATTTTATTGGGCGGAGAGGATGTTCTGGCTCGGGGTTTCTCCAGAACCCCTGAAGAGAACTCAATTGCTCCCAGATGAAGATGATGAGACTAGCATAAAGGAAGCTGCATGTGGTCTGGCCAGGGCAATTGATTATGCTTTATCTTCTCAAGTCAAAGCAAATGCCTCAGAAATTTCTCAAAGATTATCTTCTGAGGTAATGCTTGATCTTACAAATTACTCCATCCGTTCCAAAATAAGTGTCCATATTTCTATATTAGGTTGTCCCAAAATAAGTGTATGTTTTCAAATGTAAGTGCTTACTTTCCGATTCTACCCTTAGGAGAAATTAATTATCCCCTCTATTATTAAAATAAAATTGTCATTTAGTTGATTAAAAAGTGTTAAGCATTATACATTTCTAAGACTCTGCCTTTTTCATTGTGGATATTAATTTTGAGAAGGAGTATTTGATAAATTTATCAACTGGCCATGTCTTTATCTTTTCCTCCATCTTAAAACAATTGCAACAATTTTCTATTGGGAGTTGTTCCAAGATAAATGTGGCATTCCTTTTTTTTTGTGAAAGTTACATCTTTGCCAACCACAACCATTACAAAATATTATTAGCATTGTTTTTTAGCTTACAAGTTTTATGTTATTTTGTTGTTGTTGAGGGGAATTATAGGTATTTTACTGATGGTCAACACTTTGAGAATGCGTTTAGTGAAATCCTGCATTTAGACGGCTAGAGTACTATTTACGTCCCCATTACATATATGAATTTGAGCATTTATTTTGGACGGATGGAAGACTATGTACATTCACTACATATATGATTTCAAACATGTAAACTTGTATAAATTTGTTTTCGCTTGCACCATCATTAGCCCTTTCTTCAAGTTACAACATAAAACTCAGACCAAACAAACCCAATTGATAGTAAATATGTTTTTTTGTAAATTATTTGATTTGTTTCCTAGTTTGTAGATATGATTTCCCTGTGTAATCTTTCCTTATCTCTGGGATTTTCTTTCTTTCTTTGTGTTTATATATTGAGGGAATGCAATACAACTCCGGCAACGGGAGATTCATTCAATTACATGGTATCAGAGCCTTAACTGCTCTTTCTCAACGCCATCAGAAACCTCTTGCTATCTCTGTCTGCCCCTGTGTCGTCTGCTTTCTGCTTCTGCTTCTGCTTCTGCTTTATCGGCCTCTTCCCCCTGTACTGTCTGCCCTTGTGTCGGCAGCCCCTGCATCTACAACCCTCTACCTTGTGGACCACCATAACTAATGAAAAGTCTGTCCCCCCTCTCTCCACCCCGCACAAGCAGTCCATAACATCAAGAGAATAATCCCTCTCACCCTCGACCTTCACGAGTTCAGTATCACACATGGGCTGAACTCTTCAGAGTTGCTGCTATGGCTCACGATGTCATTGATCATATTGATGATCCTACTACAACTCCTCTGGATCCCACCGTTTCCAGCACTGAGTGGAACAATTGGATGCCATTGTTCTCTCTTGGATTTACGGCACCATTACTGAGGACCTTCTTCTCACTATCATCCAACCCGGATCCACCGCTCATGATGCTTGGCTTCGAGTGAAAAACCTTTTTCATGATAACAAGGGAGCTCAAGCCACTGAGTTGGAGAATCAGTTCAATCACATAAGTCTTGACAACTTCCCCAATGTCACCGCTTATTGTCAACAACTCAAAAATTTGGCTGATCAACTTAAAGACGATGGAACAGTGAGTGACCAACGTCTTGTTCTCCAATTGGTCAATGGCCTCAACCACGATTACGACACTGTTGGGAGCATCATAAGTCAGCAGTCTCTGCTGCCCTCTTTTCTTAATGCTCGTAGTATGCTCGTGCTTGAAGAAACAAGCCGCAGCCGCAACACCGAGTCTGCTACCCTTCTGTCCAGATCTGCTATTGCCTCTGGTTTCTCCCCTTTTACTACTGTTGCTCCTGTTTCTCCTGTCATTCCTCCTCCGTCGAACAATAACCCACACAACAACAATACCGGAAATAGTCGCAACAATCGTCGCAATAACCGCAACCGTGGCAACCAGCAGCACTGTGGTCCACCTGTAGCAAAGTGGCCCTCTTACCCATTCTATTGGCCACCTTTCTGGGCTGCACCCCCTGGTCCATACCCGACAGTAGCCCCACGAGGCCAAGGAAGCCTTCTTGGTCCACCTCCTCGCAACCCACAGCTCAGGCATATACGGTTCCCTCTTTGGGCCATCACTACACCGAGCTCCCTGCTGCGTTTAATACTATGTCACTCAATGTTCCTGATGATTCTTGGTATATGGACACCGGTGCTACCTCACACATGGCTGCTACCACTGGTAAATCCCATTCCTTCTTCAATGCAAATAATATTTCCCTTGTATTAGGTGGAAATGGTTCGTCTATTCCAGGCAAGGTTCCAGCATAGCACACCTATCTCCTACCCATCCTAATTTAGTGTATTATTCTCATTTGTACTCACCATATCATAGTAGCCATGTTCTCATATATAATATCATACTATTTTAATAGTTAATATTATTGAAAGTAAATAATTCAGGTCAGACTTATTATTAAAGGTATTATACAACTATGATACAAGACTATGACGCAAAAAGATGTTTGGGACATATATGTTGTCATTTTTATTATCAAGAAAGTCTAGAAGGAATGGTAGAACAACATTCAACACTAAGCATATTAGAAATGAGGCCATACAACCAAGTGTTTATGTAGGCTAAAGCTAAGGTGAATCCAAGGTTAAACATCGAGGTAGAAGCTAAGATATAGGAGTAGTGAACAATAAGAAAATTGTTCTGTTAGTTCTTGAAATTTTGTAAACTAGTAACGAATTTTGTTATGGATAAGGATTTCAAATTATAATCAAAGGATGTAATATGTGAGAAAGATAGTGATTAGCCATCTAAAGAAATACGCCAAGAGATCAGAATTGAGTTATCCTTTATGCAATAAGTCTAACAAAAGACACTTGTGAGTATGACAAGTAGGTAGCATAAGGTTCGACACATGTGTTAATCCATGACAGTCAATAAAACAATATAAGAAGATGCATTTGCTATGAGTGTTGTATGATGGGATATAAGATTAAGTTGCCCTAAGCTTTAGTAGAATTCAACAATAGTCTAGATGTCAACATAAGGAAGTTCAGTTGAGAAAAAAAAAGAGGAACCAAAGGCAAAGGACTAGGCATATGTCATGATAGCAGACGAGGCCTAAGGAATCACCAACATGTGTTTCTTGGCAATAATTATTGTACCCTAGTTTTATTCGATTCAAGTACATTTAGAAGCTTTGTTTCAACTACTTGAATATAAGAGCTAAACAACTAGAATAAGAGTAAGGTACTATTAATCATTGATGGTGGTCAGTCAAAGGTTAATGATTCTTCAAGATTGTTCTATCAATCTAAATGGTAAGAATTACCTAGTTAAGTTAATGTACTTAGGAAAAAGGTGATATAATATCGGAATGGTTTCATTGACAAAGAATGGCATAGAAGTGGTGTTTGAAAAGAATACGAGTAAGATACAAACCTTGAATGGAGAATCAGTAAATGTGTATAATATATATATATATATATATATATATATATATATATAGGGTTGGGTTCACGTGAGACCAGCCTGTTTTCGTGAGACCCGTGAGACCACATTTTTACACGTAAACTTCACAGCAAAAACACTGTGAAGGTTTAAAAAAAGTCGAACCTTCACAGCAAAAACACTGTGAAGGTTTTAAAAAGTCACCTTCACAGCATTTTGCTGTGAAGTTTCAAGTGTAAAATGCTGGTCTCACGGGTCTCACGAAAACAGGCTGGTCTCACATGATCCCAAGTCTCTATATATATATATATATATATATATATATGTATATGTGAAATAGGAACTAACTCACGTAAGATCAAAGTAAGACATGAAGAGATATACTTCTTATAGTAGCAATTATATGTGTTAGGCTATTGAACTATTATTAGAATACTCTCGCAAATATAAAGTTTATGATATTATTTTGTCGAACTAAGTTGAAATGTAAGTATGAGATAGCAAGTTATAAGATATTTTGAGTTTGCATATATCTAAATGGTAAGGAATGGAAGATAGTTGGTGACTTATTTGATGTTACAGAAACGAGGTTGAAGAAATCTCAGTTGATGATAAACTTAAATTCTGTATAAGAACCCATAGCTATCATTGAGCATAAAATTAAAAAAAAACTTCGAAATAAAGAGGTATCATTGGTATTAGTTCATTGGGACTATTCTCATGGATCAGAGGCAACATGAGAAGCCGAGTCAGAAATGAGGAATAAGTACCCACATCCTTAAATTCTTATAAGAAAGGGAGAATTGTAACACCCTAGTTTCTTTATTTGCTAAATCTCAATGTTTAAGCCTTAAATACAAGAATTTGTAAGTAAATTAAATACTCTTAAAAGAGTCCAACAGCTGTAGCATTTATTAACTATCATATTTATAAGGCAAGTAGCTTACAAATAGCTTACAAAGCTACTTATAAACAAACGACATGAGCCACAAAAATCTTATGACAAAGCAAGCTAGTTATGAGTTGTCAAGGCTAGAAGCATGTGTTGGCAAAAATCATGATGACAAGCAAGAGCTAGAAGCATGACAAATAAAAGCTAGAAGCATGAGGTGTCAAGATTCTTTTATATTAAGCATGAGGTGTCAAGATTCTCTTATCCTAAAAAATGAGGTGTTAAACTATCATAAGAGTGCAATTTTGGGAGACTTTTTTTTCCCTTCCATTCCGTTCTTACCATATCATGGGCAGTTGGGTTGAAGCTAATGCAATGAATTTACCATTAAATAGTGATTGAAGTGTTACCGTTAGTTCCATATCAAAAATAAGAAATCTCTCTTTATACCTAATCAAGCTTGAAGATAGTTATTAAGGGAAAAGCTAGACATAATCAAGGTGGGTACGTTATGAGATTTATTGGGATAGATACATGCTATATATATATATATACATGTTTTATGCATGAAAAAGTATTGCCATATATTCTTGTAAAAGTTATGTTATGATTAGTGGCAAAGTACACCTTTTATGTCATGATGCACATGTGGTATATGAAAGTTTTTATACATGTTAAGTATAACAATTTAAATATCCAACGTACGGATATAGAAAGAAGGTACGCCTTGCAAACGGACCTTATTGGGCAACCCTTATGTGGACCCGAGGTTAAAGAACCTGTGAGAAGTTGGTTTACTTAACATGTAACCATGAGATCTCAAAGAAATGTTTTTATACATGAAAGTTTATAAGAATTATGTTAACTATTTGGAAAGAATGTTTTATCATGAAACCGTAACTACTCACTAAGCTTAAAGCTTACGTATTCATGTATGTATCTCAGGAATCAAGGAGTAGGAACAAGCTGAAGTGTTGCTATTCTAAGATGTTAAAATATTATAAGTTGTAAATTTCCGCATTACCGCTGCTGTAATAACTCTATTATAATGAAATAAAAGTTTAACATATGAAGTTTCTTTCATTCACTTGTACTAATGGCAAAGGATGATACCCCCGGGATCGGGATGTTACACGCGCCTTACCCGCTTGTCTACACCCATCGCAAGCCATCTTTTGCTGCCCAAAACCACCCAACAGCCTTGACACACCATTCCCCCCTCCCCTAGATAGTCAAACTACTCCACAACCTTCTCTCGGACAATCGAACCCCGCAACCGCCCCACCTTCCCCACCACCGCCTCCCAAACACACTATGACTACCCATCTTCAACACGGCATCACACAACCCCGTCCCCCACTCAACTTACATGTCCAACACCTCAAACCTTCCGCGCTTCCTAGGTCCCACCTTTGTGCTACGCAGGACCCGTATTGGAAAGTGGCTATGCAAGAGGAGTATGATGATTGATTAAAAATGGTACATGGGTTTTAGTTGATCACCCCCGGGTGTCAATGTGATCCGCTGTATGTGGTTGTTTAAACACAAGTTCAACTCTGATGGCACCTTACAACGCCACAAGGGTCACCTTGTTGTCAATGGAAAATCTCAACAAATAGGGGTGGACTGTGATGAGACTTTTAGCCCTATGGTAAAACCGGCCACCATTTGTACAGTCTTGAGTCTTGCTTTCTCATATTCTTGGCCGATTCATCAGCTTGATGTGAAGAATGCCTTTCTTCATGGAGATTTGCAAGAAACAGTGTACATGCACCAACCGCCTGGTTTTGTTGATCTCACTGCTCCAAAAAAGGTTTGTCTCCTTTGTAAGTCTTTGTATGGCCTAAAACAGGCCCCACGGGGTATCACCGTTTTGCTTCTTGCTTGCTCAAGATGCGATTTACTAGCAGTAAGAGTGACAACTCTTTATTTATATACAAGCATGGGGTGAAACAACTTTTATGCTATTGTACGTAGATGATATAGTGCTCACTGCTTCATCCACCGCCTTTGTCCGGCATGTCATTTCTCTTTTGAGTAAGGAGTTTCCGATGACAGATTTGGAACCACTTTCTCATTTTTTGGGTTGAGGTCTGTCGATCTAAGGGTACTCTCTTTCTCAATCAAAGGAGATATGCTGAAACGCTTCTTGAACGGGCCAAAATGAGCACTTGTAAACCCGTTAACATGCCAGCTGATACCAAGGCCAAACTCAGCGTTGATGACTACATTTGAGGTAAACCTGAGCGTGGGTTGCATTTTTCTGCCTCTCCCACTACCGACTCGGTAGCCTATTCAGATGTAGATTGGGGTGGGTGTCCGGATACCCGCCGCTCCACTTCAGGTTATTGTGTTTACTTAGGAGATAACCTTCTTTCTTGGTCATCTAAACAGCAACCCACTCTCTCCCGCTCCAGTTCCGATGCTGAGTATCACGGAGTGGCCAATGTTGTTGCTGAAACTTCATGGCTTCGGAATTTACTGCTAGAGTTACATTGTCCTTTCGAAAAGCCACGGTCGTCTATTGTGAAAATGCTAGTGCCGTGCACTTATCTTCTAATCCGGCACAACACCATCGCAGACATCTTGTACGGGAAAAGGTTGCTCTCGGCCAGGTTCGCATGTAACATGTGCCCTCTTCGTCACAATATGCAAACACCTTCACTAAAGTCCTACCATCTTCCCTTTTCTTGGATTTTCACTCCAGTCTCAACGTTTGCACTCTTCCCATGTCGACTGCCGGGGTGTGATACTAAATATATTTTTTGTAAATTATTTCATTTGTTTCCTAGTGTGTAGATATGATTTCCCTGTGTAATCTTTCCTTATCTCTAGGATTTTATTTCATTGTTTGTGTTTATATATTGAGGGAATGCAATACAACTCCAGCAACAGGAGATTGGGTCAGATAGGATGTATGCATACCTTCCCTCTACCCCAAGGATAAAAAGGCTGTTTCCGTGAAGACCCTCAACTTGCAAAACAAAAATTGGGATTAAATATGAAGTGTACATCTATGTAGATTTTCTAAATTTTCTTTTTTGAAGCGCCAAAATAGTATAAAAAGGAACATCTTATACGAATTGTCTATCCTACCGTTCTAGTTTGTCTACTTTTTGCATTCTTTCTTTAGATTTTCTTTTCGAGGGGAGAACGATATGATACATTTTGCCTAACGCATTGCTTGTTCTTAAATTTACCCTTTCTTCCGCTATATATTAGTTTCATCATACGTCCTGATTTCATTCTTACACATCTCATTCATGTTCTTATCAAGCATGAGCTAGAAATGCTACAAGATTGACTACTTCTATACATTGCTCGTTTCAGGATGGCATGCTAGAAGCAGTGCAAATGTTGAAAGCAAGTATTGCGAGCCAATCTTCAAAAGAAGACTAACCCGAAGTTTCAGAAGTCAAAATTCAACCAGAAGCCTCTTTATTCCAAACTTGTTACGCAGAGATTCACATCTGGCTGCTTGGAAATCATACAACAATTTTGCAAATTTGTCGTTTGCATCATAAAAGCGAAGATCCTGGACATCATAGACCTGGTGATTCGTTGACGTTTTCTATTTGGTTTTTGAATCTTGAGACGACGTAGTTGGGTGGTTTTGGTTGGCATTGAAGTTGTGAGCCTTGGTTGCAGGTCAGTATTGAATTTATTTTGGTCTAGGCCTGTAATTGACTTGAGTTGTATTGAATTTCAGTACAAATATAGCTCGAGACTTATGATCAGACGAATTTATAACAACTCAACTAGGATTTTTAACGGGTGTCCTACATTCCCTCTCCTCTCTCGATCCCAAATTCTAAGATCCAATTTGCTACATATTCTTTGTCAATGATCTACCTTTATTCCCGTTTGATCAAATGTTTTGACGGTGTGTTTGAATGTGCGTTCTGAAAGTGATTATGTAAAGTTGAATAAGATAATCATATAACGGATCGTGAAGGACATCATTTTTGTAAGTAATATTTCGTTCCTATTTAAGCCTTGGGTTACGCATAAAATTTAACACTATTATATACTTACCAGGTAAAATTTTAGGCCACCAAAATAATATCGCATGCAACAATTTATCCGGTAAGTGCTTACCATGGTAAGAATTGTCGCCCTCACTTACCAGGTAAGACTCTTGGTCCTTGTCTCGCTCTTACCAGGTAAGATTCTTGATCCTTACCATATTCATCCGCTAAGGTAATATGACTTGGTAAGCACTTACCCGATTAAGCATTTGGTAAACAGCCCCTTAGTCTTTTAAAGTTGGTTTTCAGAAGTTATCCTTGAGAAGCTAACTTTCTAAGGTTAGCCATTATAAGCTAACATCAGTTAACCACTGGCCTTTTACACTTTTATCTTCTAAACATCACTTGGCCGTTGGTCGTTCCCCTCGATCCCACAAGAGGCGCTATCTCTAGACCCCCAAGGGGGTGTGAACCCCTTGACCCCCGCTTTAGGGCAATCTCAGGTTTAAGCAAATTTATACGAGCGAGCGTGTACTCCGCACCTCGTAATTCATATTATAGCTTAACGACAAACCCCATTGGTCTCTTGTAAAACACAACTACAAAATGATAGATGACATTAGAATCACCTAACAGTCGTTTTCGAAAATCTACTTTCAGAATGTACATTTAACGGTTTATAATTTGAAAAAAATATACATCTTATTAAAATGTAGATCTTTAAATATGCCTCTAACAAATTATACTCTTGAATAGACCTTTCTTAGACGGTTGATTTTTAACGGTTTTTGAAATTATTTTTCCCTAAATGACAATTGAACGGAAATTTCGTTCTTTTTAATGCGATTTATCCTCCTCTTTTACCAACGTATTTTGTGGTCGATTCAACGGCATCATCAATTCACATTAACTATATTGGAATGATATTAACTCCTATTTATTCATTATTTATGTCATGCCAGATGTTCTACCTCCTTTTCAGGGAGAGCTAATGCTTGTTGAGTATTTTCTGATCATTCAAGAGTTGTGGCCCTTAATTATGCAACTTCATGTAATGTTACACCTATATTTATGCAAGTTTATGTTGGAATGAAGTTATAGTTGTAACTTATTGTGGTTAGGTCTATCAAAATTGGTTTCAAACTTGTAGTGAAAGTATTTGTGCATATTTTTGGATCGAGCTTGAATCGATCTTGTTTTTATCGTAATATAATTTCATTATTATATTTTTAAGTTACTTGAGCTCAAATTTAGATCAGATACACTCATCTAGCTCTGAAACACTACTAGAAAACTGAATATAAGCAACGATTTTGATACGAAAACAATTTGTCGCCAATGAGAGAGGGATTAGCCACGAATAAGCCATAAACTCATACCATCGTTGTGTATGTATGTATGTATGTATGTATGTATGTATGTATGTATGTATGTATGTATGTATGTATGTATGTATGTATGTATGTATGTATGTATGTGCAAAAACATACACTTTAGCATCCAATTATGTCATTATTTACTTCATTTTACACATTTCTCAATCTTATATTGAGTCTTTTAGTCTTATTTTATGGTTTTACATTTAGTGGAGCTAGGATGTAGGAATGGTAATGTCTTATAAGTTTAGTGAGTATAATGCTGACATAAGCATTGTTGTAGCAGGTGCATACGTTGCTGCAACATTGGATGCTGAATATTGGCACAACTGGCTAAATCTCGTTGAATAATTTGAAAAGTCAAAGTTTTAAAGAAAGACATCTCATGGTACTGTTGGCAAACGATTTAGTTGGTAGATGCTCTTGCAAAGATGTCTCAACCTTTTGTAATAAAGTCTCTTGTTTTAAAAGCATCTTTCTTTTACCCATTGGTTAATAACCAATGGGTATTGCCCTCTAAGTACTTTTTGATTCCCTCATGGTAGTATATATATGAGGATAATCCTTTGAACAATTTGGTATATAACATTTGGAAACAATTGTCATCTAGAACAAAGCTTCATCAAAGCTTTGGGTCATTGTTACTTTTTCTAGCATTCTTCGTTGCTATCAGTTGTTACAGCAACATTTCCAGCTTTCTTTATTATGTGCAGAATTTACTTTTACGTCATTTACATTCAGTTATTTTCATTTATGTCATTTATTTTTAAGCACTTATATTCAGTCATGCTAGGCTAAATACCTTAGTATGGGTATTAGTGAAGGTTGTGAGATTACGCCAAGTGTTAGTTGATGTTTGCTTATTAATAGCAATTTATTTCACTATTCACAAGTGGTATCAATATTTTATCTTGTAATCTTTGATAAAATGACACATATTATTTTATTCAGATGAGTTGGACTTAAAATTAAGACAACGCAGATATTTTACTAATTGTGTTATAGAGGCTATAAATAGTCGTTGTAATCTTATGGGTTGCAAAACTATATGAATAGAAAGGCAAGATTTGTACTAGTTTGGGATTGATGCATCACCAAGTGCACTTCCAACATATGGTCTAATATGCACTTCCTAGACCGTTCAATCCAGTAATGTTGTAAAGAGCTATTGATATAGCAATATTCATTACACTTCGTTGCTGAAATCCAACCTGATCTTGCATCCATACTACCTTTTAATTATTATTTTATTTCAGTATTTGATTACCAACTCTCGCAAATATATTTTCTCTCTAAAGCTTTATTGCTTTCAAAAACTCTTTTCTGAAATCTCACTTTAAAGTTAACTTTTGTGACTCTCTTTGCATATTAAATCTCTATGCAACGATATTTGGTATTACTTACCATTATTACTTGCTTTGGACAACACTTGTAAGCCATGTATACTTATATGATTTACTCGTCATTATAGCCTTTTGAGTGTATAGATCCATCTACACCAAGTTTTTGGCGTCGTTGCCGGGGATTTTTAGCCAAAAAGAGTTTTTCTTTAAGTTACTTAAAATTTGATTTTTCTACCATCAAGTGTTCATTTTTAGTGGTTTATGCCAAAGATACCTCACGGGACTGTTTTTTTAGTTAGATCTGGATATTGAAAGAACTTTTAGAAAGAGAAGAAGGGTACAAAGAAATTTGTTGCCTATTCTAGCTACTCCTGAAATGGCTCAAAGTCGGACCTGATCCAATACCCAATCCTAAGGAGGAGGTTATTAGGCTTGCAAATTCAAGGACTAGTGGCATCATGGACTATACTATTCCAATGTTAAATCAATTACATCCTGGAATACGTAAGCCCACTATTGATGGTGACCACTTTGAATTTAAGCATCTTATTTCACATGTTACAAATAAATGGTCAATATGTTGAATTACCATCTGAGGATCCTCATTTGCATCTTAGATCTTTTATGGAAATCGCTGACTCTTTCCATCTTAATGGAATTTCTGATGAAGCCTTAAGGCTGAAGTTATTTCCTTTTTCATTAAGAGACAGAGCCAAAGTGTGGTACAACTCTTTGCAACCAGACTCAATCACCACATGGAATGAGATGACTGAGAAGTTTTTAAAAATGTATTTTCCCCCAACCAGGAGTGCCAAGTTCAGAAATTAAATTTGTCTCTTTAGACAAATGGATGATGAAGCAGAACCTGATGCTTGAGAGAGGTATAAGAAATTACTAAGGAAATGCACATATCATGGCATACCCTACCGCATACAGGTAGAAATATTTTACAATGGTCTTGATACCACTACTAAACAAATGTTAGATGCTACTGCAGGTGGAGCCTTTACTTCTGGTACCTATAATGATGATTTTGATATTTTGGAGAAAATTTCTAACAACAGTGGTCTTTATGGGTTGCTTTGTTGAGCTTCCTATAATCCATGCATATTCTCTATTCTGACACTATCCTAGTTGGGATTAGTTCATTCTTCTCATTTTCTATTACAGTCACACCTCCTTTTTAGGCACATGTAGGACAGGACTTACCCAAGAGCTACTAATTATAAGATAAATAATGTCAGCGTCAAGCCATTTCAAAATCTCCTTCTTAACCACTTTATGTAGGTATGTATGTACGCACGTACGTATGTACATAGGTATGTATGTATGCATGCTACATACATACATACATACATACATACATACATACATACATACATACATACATACATACATACATATGTATGTATGTATATATGGATGCATGCATATGAATGTATGCATGTAAGCATGCATGCATGTATGTATACATTATAGTCGAACTATTTGTTTCATGTGATTAATATTTCATTGAAGATTAAATTAAAATTCCAGTATTTTAATTTCTCGCAATTTATTTTTGCAATTTACTTTTTCGCATCAGTTATTTATTTTTTAATCTTTACATCCTTCGTGAGAAAAAACCGAGCGATGATGGGCTAAACGCCTTAGCTTGTGGTGTAAGAGAAAATTAAGACCAAAGCCGATGTGAAAGTACAGAAGTATTTTATTAGCATTATAGTCTAACTATTTGTTTCAGGTGATTAATATTTCATTGAAGATTACATTAAAATTAATTGACAACTAATTTTATGTATGAAAATGCATTAACTTTCAGAGTTAAGATAAATAAGAAAACCTGAGATAATAGGAGAAGGCTATAAAGAGTTTCAATATCTGACAACTACTATACTCCTACGGTGTAGGATGGTAACACTGTGTTGTGCTAGGATTCACGACGTCTAACATAAATGATATCGTATTGACAGCACGTTGGTCTGTGTGTACTCTTGGAGTCCATCTGATCCGATAGTTGATACTGTAACAGTTCTATAAAATCATCTTGTGGTTTTATAGAATTGTGACAGGAGTACTATGTCACCTTTATGTTGGATCATCTATTTTTTTTTTGTCTTAATCAACCTTTGCATTATGTGCTTTTTTTAACGACTAATATTTTCTTATTTGCTAATCAAATCTTCCAATTTTTAGATAAAACAAATCTCTCGTATTTGTCATCTGAAATTAGTTTTTATAGACTGGACTTTTGAAGAACTTTACAAAGCTTTCTTTGTAGGAACGATATCTGGTACTTATAACATTATTACTTGTTACAAGACGATAGTAGTTCAAGGCGTATACTTGCGTTGAGTTCTATTTTTGTGTTGAAATCTAAGGTTGCATAAACCGAACGAGCATATGTATATAGGCAAAGGATCGTGTGAGAATGAAAGTTAAGATGAAAAGCGTAAGAAGTGATCTAAACCTTTAATCTCAAACTCACTCATGAATAGTGCTTGATAGAGGATTGAATCGATGCATCTCATTTCAGTGCATTTTATCCTTATGTGCATCTAATGATGGAGATCTCTCCTTCTCACCAAAACTGAAACACACACACACACACACATATATATATATATATATATATATATATAGAGAGAGAGAGAGAGAGGATCAAACGAGAATTGTACTTATTTAAAAGAACATGAAGACGAGCAAATCACGTGCAAATCACATGTGATTTTACATTAATGATAAATAAAAAAAGTGTCCAGGCACTTGTGGGTGCAAGGTCGCTTGAATCACATGTGATTTTGTATGTGATGTTAATGTAAAATCACATGTGATTCGCCTATTTTCGTGTTCTTTTAAATATGTATCATTCTCGTTTGATTCTCCCTTTATATATACATACAGAGAGAGAGAGAGAGAGAGACGCATCTATAATATTATAAAAAATTATAAAATGTATTTCTTTTGTTTGTTAAAATTCTAAGTCTACACCATCTTTCACTTTGTTTGAATTCAAAAGATGGCCTTCCTCCATTGAAAAACTCTCACATTCACCATCCCAACCAATTTATGCCATCATAACTTAAACTTTTGTGTAAAATGAATCACAATATAATAATTTTTTTATTAACCTAAATATCTAATTCGTTATGCAAGCATATTAGTTCCAACATGATCAACTGTTTTACAGATAGTCCGGAGTCATCGCATTTGAACATCCATCGTCACAAGAGGATTTTTATTCCTCTTTGGATTTGAAACCTGTGACCTCCAGACACTTTTAACTTTTTGAGTTCAAGTTCAAACCAATCAGACACCACTCTTGTGGTTATAAATTTGTCTTTCTCAATGTTATACGTAACGGAAAATCAAATAATGTAACAAACTTTTTAAATCAATAATTTTGTAAGTTCAATAACAACTTTAGAAAACTGATTATTTTAATTCACTATTTCATATAATAAACAAACAAATGCTAATTTTGTTTCACTTTGGTGCAATTTTTTTTTAGAACTTCAAATATTTCTAAGAAATTAGAATAAAGTACACATTTGGTCTATATTATTGTCAAAATTAACATCTTCGTTCTTATAGTTTTGAAATTACAAAATAGTCATCATGGTTTGTAAAAACATCTAGATTTAATCCCTGGCTCTAACAACCGTTAAAAATTCCGTTATATGAGGGGCCTTTCATCTTCTTCTTTTTTGTCTTTTAATCAATCAAAATCGATTTTTATGATTTGGTCCCTACGGTTTTTATTGGGTGAACGAGAAAAAGTGATAAAAGGACGAAAACATCTCTCATTTGACAGAAATTTTTTAACGATCATTAAAAAGTGGGACCAAATTTCAACGTTTTTTGTAAACCATGATGGTCATCTTGTAATTTCAAAACTACAAAAACAAAAAATGTTATTTTTGACAACCACCTGAACCAAATTTGTAGTTTACTCAAAAAAAAATTAATATGATTAAATTAGAACTCAATAAAATTTGTCAATATTCTTATTAAAGCGAAACTGGCCAAATAGCTATTTCTCACACATAAACATTAGCCATTCATCTCTCTAATTTTACTCAAATACCCTTACGTCTGCAAGTACCACGTTCATCACTTGTGGACCCAGTTAAAAGACCAAAAAAATTATCAGATTTGACCCAGATCCACAATTGCGACAACCAGGTCTGTAATTTAAATCTTTTTTTTGTCTTTTAGCTAGGTCCGCAAATGATTGATGTAAGATATGCATATGTAATGACATTTGGGTATAGGAAGATGAATGGTTAAAAGAAGAGTTTAAGAGTAAGGGGCTGTTTACTAAACACTTACTTGGTAAATGTTCACCGAATAAATTTTCTTATCGTATGAACATGAGAAAGGCCAAGAATCTTACCGGGTAAGAACGATGAGAATGATGGAGAGTCTTACCCGGTAAGTGAAGATGACGACTCTTACCCAGGTAAGCGTTTACCCAATAAATTATTGCATTTTGATATACTAAAATCTTACACATCAAAATAAATTATAGTATTGACTCTTACCTTATCAATAACCACTTATTGAATAAGAAATTGGGTAAACCGGCAGGTTATTTCTCAAAATTGCAAGAAAAAAAAAAGTGTGAATGATTGACTAGTGGGGTGGTGAGTCAAAAGAGTCAGAGAAATTAAAGAGCCTACAAAAGTCCAAGTATGAGAAATGGGAGCCTAAGGATCATAATGGATTGGTGTTGGTGGGTGGTTCAAGTTTTTATTTTATTTTATTTTATTTATTTATTAAAACTACTTTAATGCTCCAATTTAATAATGGGGAATTTTTATTTTTCTAAAATTATACTCATTAAATTAATTTTGATATCTAGTTTATTATGATACTGATAATATATATATATATATATATATATATATTATATTATAAAGGATTTGATTAAAAAAAATTAAAAATTATTTTTTATGTATAAGATATTGTTTATTGATGTATATTATTTAAAATTTAAGATTACAAATAGATTGTGCATAAGTGTAACTTATTAAAGTTTCATTTTAAATTCATGTAACTAACTGTAGATAAATATAATCAAATATAAGATAAATATCTCATTTTCAATATATAAAAATCTAAAATATAATTAAGATAACTGTTGAGTTCTGACATAATATTTAATTATTATCTTTCTAAAAAATTATATTATTAAATCAAAAATAAATTACTTCGTTAATAAACTTAAATTAAACTATAATAAAAAAATTAAATTAAATAAATTACACAAAAAATGAAAAGTTTAATAGTTATTCTGATACTAATATCGATATTTTTTTAAATTTTAATGATATCTTCAAATTTATATTTGATTCAAAAACAAAAACATTATTGTTTTCTTAACACCACATAAATTCGTATTATAACATCGATAGAGAAAAATAATAAAATGAAACATTAAAATCGAGATGTATCACACTGTATTGCGCGGATACCCTTCTAATTGTTAATATACGATGTTAGACCAATTACGTTCAATTGCATATATCTGATCTAAAACATTTATTAACACGGAAGTTTTATGATATTTTTGGGGGTAACGAAAATTATTTAATTCATGATTTACATTAAAACAGAGTTGGTTCAAACGAGAACAACGATTAAATAAGAAAACATGAAATGGTCAGATCACATATGATTTTATATTAAAATCATGTGTAAAATATTCAGGCAACCTTAATTTTTTTTATTAACCTGGATATTCAACCCGCTATGTGAGCCGACTAATCTTAGGACGACCACCTGCTTTACAGATAGCCCGGAGTCACCGCATTTGAACCTTCGTGGCCTCAAGCGGATTTTTATTTCTCCTTGGATTTGAACCTTCGTGGCCTCAAGCGGATTTTTATTTCTCCTTGGATTTGAACCTGGGACCTCCAGG